AGTATGTATTTTTGTCTCCTTTGTTTGATTGGATTCTCTTTGTCTACTTTCAGGATTTGTGTGAAAATCTAATTATGTTTTGGGTCATATTTATGCAGAAATATAGAAAATTCTAAAGGGTTCACAAACTTTCAAGCAGCATTGTATAAGTTATTCAATTGTATTTTACATAGTTGTTTATAATTTTTTGTTGCATTATTGTTATTGTTATTTTTCCCTTTTAGTTACAGGTAGTCTAATAACATCTGCCAAAGGGACTATCAATAAAAATTAAACTTTGGGCTAACTTGGGTACATTTACATTTATGAATGTTGATTAATGTACACTGTCCCTTTCTAAATTAAATAAATACATTTTATTTAAAAATGAAACTAGCTAGCACTGCTGCATGACTGTTTCCAACACAATGGCTGAAGGATTGAAGGCAAATTTGACATCTTTCTCTCTTCTGACCACCTTATTCAGTCATTCCATAATTTTTTCTGTCTTTTGTAAAGTCATAGAAACACTATCGTTGATTTTTATTTTGCTATTGGAGCAAATGAGGACGTAAACATTTTATTTGTTGTATTTTTTGTTCACCACCATTGAAGTTTACCCAACTATGACGACTTATCCTTGTGAGAATGCCGTAAATGTCCATTAATCATGCAGCCCTATTTTGAATACTGGGAAAATAGATCCGATCAGTTGTCTGGATACAGACATGGGCAATGTAAACGTGCTGTGTTTTGATTGGGTGATGCCTTGTGTAAAGAGGGCTTCCATTGGTGAGTATAGTATTTATTTATTCTGTAAGTTAACTTGAGATAAATAAAACCTAAACTCAGCGGTTGAATAAATTTTTCCTGTTATTTATTTTACAAACTGCAGCCGTTTGTTTCACGTGTCTCTAAAACATACCCAGATTAATTGCTTTCTTATTTCCTGTCTTTTTCTGGCACGGTTCATCCTCACCCTCCTCCTCCAGGAAACCATGCCTGATATTCCCTCCTCTCTCCATCACAATTTAATGGAAATGATCCAAGTGTTCAGGGCGTTATGCAAATACGTGCTATAGATTTTCTTTTTCATTATAAGTACATTATTAAAATCAGCTCTCCTCTCCCTGTTCCCCTCACCTCCTATTAGAAGGCCCCAGAGTCTCTCTGTTGGCAGCCACTGACTGTCAGCAGTGGGTCCTTGCTGCAGCTAGTGATTTATTGATGTAAGTGGGAAGCTATGAAGCCGACTTTGTGACAGCTCCGAGCTTTTAAAATTGAGCATGTCATCCGACTGATGAATGACTACAGGTTGAGCTCACCCAGCGGCACAATATGTCAACGTCCACGCTTATGAGGGACCCAGTGGTCCATAGGCGCTTACATCGACAAGGGATACATACGAGGCTCGCCAATCCGCTCTGCCCCCTGTATTTGGACAGATTGCGTAATATGTGAATGGCCTAGGACAATTTGAGATTTGATCTGATTAAGCACCAACTTGTTTTGAAAGGTCTAAAAATTTTTGCAGGAATCTAAAACTCCTGTTTGATGAAGTTTGATATTTTCCCAATGAGGAAAAAATAATGTCTAAGTCAAAGTATTTTGCACATCAGTAGTACTAATTTAACAGAGGAACACTATCAATGTTACAGTTTAAACTGTCACTTTGATTTTGCCAATAAATTAAGGCTAGATATATTTTGAAGGCATTGATTTATATAGTATAAACTAACTAAATAATATAGGCTTACACTGGCAACACATCAGTGGACTTTCCTAGTGCATTATAATATATACTATATTTATGCATTCCAAAAGCGCCTCCTACTGGTAGATAATCAATTTGCATTTTCAATAAGCCCGTCTGCAATTTTTGTTCAGACCAATGCAAAAATCCACCCATATAACCGTTTTAAATTAATATAATAATCTATACATGTGACTCATCCCTTTTATTAAAAAAATTAATAATAATAATAATAATAATAATAATAATAATAATAATAATAATAATAATAATAATAATAATAATAATAATAATAATAATAATAATAATAATAATAATAATAATAATAATAATAATAATAATAATAATAATAATACGGACGACTCCTGAAGATCTGACACTAATGGATAGAGTTTCTGTAACATAAAAATATTGCATCTTTATACAGATATGCAAGGTTAGAGGAACTATAAAGTAAAAATATGAAAAAATTAAAAAAATTAATAATAATAATAATAATAATAATAATAATAATAATAATAATAATAATAATAAAAAGGGTTTTAAAGCCCGAGATGTGAGGTTTATCATTTTATAATTCATTTGGATTTATATTATATATTTAATATATATATATATATTAATAATTACGTTTATGACTAATTTATTTTGTAAGTAATTTAAGAACTTAAACTTGGCAACATTTCTAATGTTCATTTAGGTTAGGTTGTTTTTTAATCTAATATTTATATTATTTAAATGCTTTTAGTTTTTTTTATTTTTTGAATTAGCTTATTTTTGTATATTTTATCATGTTTTCATTTTAATTGTAATTTTAGTATTTCTTTATTTGGTATGTGCTTTTGTCATTTTTTTTAGGGTTTGTTTTATAATTATTGCTCTTTATGATTCATTTATTTTTATTTTAGTTTTAATTCAGTTTTAGTTTTTGTTTATTTCCAGTTAGTAATTTTAGTGTTTACGCTTGGCAACATCTCTAATTTTATTTTTTTTATTTTTTCTTCCAATATGCATATTTTATTTAATTGCAGTTTAATTTCAATTAACACGTTTCTTGAATAGTTTGTTATAATTAGCAATAATAACCCTGCTAAGTGCTAGGCTTTGGCTCCTGCAGTAGTTTATTGCCATTTGTATAACACTATATTGAAAATATAGAAGTGAAGAGTCACTTTAGGAATAATATCTAATTAAATTGAACTGAATATCTGCTCTCTTTATTTGGATTTTTATTGTACTTGAACCTTTTTGTGTATTTCTGGGTTAGATTCACTGATTGGGGGCTGTCTTCTCAGAAACAGTCTTTCAGATCTCATCAAAAGCATCAGTCCTGTTATTGAGCATCTGTGTGATGCTTCCAGCTGCTGTCAGTAAACAGCTTGTGATGGTAACCCTCTTTGTGCTGTCTTAATGTAATGTTCAGTAACTTGTCAAGATGTGCAACTCAATCTTCAGACGTTTTTTGACTATGTCTGTTCATTTAAAGATTTGAACAACTACATCTATGTTTCTGTAGAAATTAAGGATGACTACTCCAGAACACACTTGACACTTTGTATTTTGTCTTTTTTCTTTTACACACAGAGAATTGCACCATATGTCTCAGAATATAGAAAAACAATCCCTGCAGGGTTTCTCTTAACTTTTTTGAACCAAGGACATATTTCATAAGTTCATAAATGTTCACAGACCCCCATCTCGCTTTTCAGAGCTGACTGGTTTGGTTCAACGCTTCATTCGAAATATCTATGGAGGAAATTAATGGGAAACCCAGACGGCAGAAAATTTTAATCTGCTTCTGTTGCATTCATATAGCTTGGACATTCTCCAGAAACACTAGCTATTTGAGACAGACTCCTGGGATCCACTGAACCCAGTTTGAGATCTGCCGTCCTAACGGCTCTAGAAAGCTCTGGAGATTGAAGGTATAGCCTGTTCTCTTCCATGGACTGAGATGCATGTACAGACTAGAGCACATAGTGGAGCAGAAACTTCCAAATGAATTCCCTTCGGACCTGAATGGACTCATCCCATCCATTAGAATTCCCTTGAGATTCACCTTGCAGCTTCGAGTCCAAATAATTCCATTTAGACACATTTTAATGCGTGTTGTGTTTCACGCACTGCTAGCTCCAGGTGACTGCTGAACCTCGAATGATCTATGTTTTTAACTTCTGCCAGCTGTCTTTTCTTGTTTCTGTCTGTTGTATGCCCCCGGTCTGGCACATCTCAGAGTTTGAGCCATAATAATGCATAACAGAGATTTGGAAGGCTAGTATTTTGATAAATATAATTTTTCTGATTTATTGTCTGAATGTATCTCGAAGGAAATATTTCAATGACCCTGACTTTGTGGTACCTAAACAGATAATCGAGATTCAGTACAGCAGAAGAAAGACCTAAATTAATATTATCATTTTTTTTTTAATTATAAAAAAAGCAGTTACCAATTATTACAACTTAAAATATCTTTTTATTTATATTTTAATATACTTTAAAATATCCCCCCCCCCCGTGATGCTGAATTTTCGGCAGCCATTACTCCAGTCTTCAGTGTCACATGATACTTCAGAAATCATATTTTGAAAATATTGAAAATAGTTCTGCCTTTTAATCTTTTTGTGGAATCTGTGATACATTTTTCAGGATTCTTTAATGAATAGAAATTTCGTAAAAACAGTATTTATTTGAGATAGAAATCCTTTGTCACTTTTGATCAATTCAGTATATCCTTGGTTATTAAAAATATGAATTTATTTTAAAAAACAAACAAAAACTTTTAACAGAAGTGTATGAATGATTTTGACAAATATTTTGCATATACTGTGCATTTTAATATATATTTTTACATGAATTATCTCTCCCTCTCTACTTTTTTTGTAAATGTATTATTTATGATGTGATCCCCTTCACCGTGTTTATGTGCAATAAATATGGTTTCCATTTTCCACACTATTAAAATGGCATATATTTCCGTTCCATAGTGCTTTCAATAACCTAGAAAAGCTCAACCATAATGGTGTTCTCCTTAACCCATGACAACTGATTTCAAGACTGTGCTTTTTTGCTCAGTCCTTTGAAAAGCACACAATGGCTCAGCTGTATAATGAAAACAAATCACAATGACAATTCAGTTATATTCAGAGAAAAGGCTCTTGAATGAAAAAAAATCTGGCTTTAATTGGTTACATGGATTTAACGTAACAGAGCAAATTATTGCAGATTTTAATGGCTGCCTCTTTCTTTTTTTTCTCTCTTTTTCTCTCAGCTGTATAGCTCATTTGACTTTGGTCGAAAGTGGCAGCTAGTTCACGAGCGAGTGACTCCGAACCGCTTCTACTGGTAGGTGGAACAGTTACAATCACACCTCATCTCCATTTCTCACAAGATGTCACTAACTTACAATTTTATGGGCGAACAGGGAGAGTTTAGTCGAGTGCTGGTTGACATTGACGCGTTCATGATATGTGGAATGAGTCTGAGCAATTGAGAAGATGGATACTTTTGAAAAATTGTGTCCTTTTTCACACGCTCTTATGCTTAGAAAATGCACAGGCTGCTGTTCATGTCAGCTGCACAGATGTTTGAGCTCTAAGACCTTTGTTGCACAACTCCCCTCTATTCAGTATCAAGACAACGAAAGAAATGGAGAGAATAAGCATAGCAGAGGAAGATGGAAAGAATATAGATGCATAAAGATGGCTGAGGAGAGCAAAAGAGAATGGAATTGTACTCCATAGTGCTTCTAGATTTTAAAGTCTTTTTTTTTTTTTTTAAATACACATAAAGAAATGGATAGTACTTTTGGGAGAAAAAAAGAAGAAGTTTAAAATGATGCACACCCACATGAGATCCAGACTCCAGTAGGATCAAGATTTTTTTTTTTTTTGTAGGGCTGCACAATTTGACTAAAATAATAATAATAATAATAATAATAATAAATAAAACCACTAGTTTTTATTTTATACTTGAATTTAACTTTTATTTTAGACTGCAGTCATATGAACTGTCCTATATTACATGAAGTGGGTTATTAATTTCTTCATTTTCAAACTTTAAACCATTTAACTTTTATTTTAGACTCCTGTCATATTAACCTTAATAAAAACTGTCCTATATTACATGAAGTGGGTTGCCATATTGAGAACCCACCCTATTGGCTGAGAATGTCAGATTGATACATTTTTGTGAGAAATTGACACCCTTTTTTCAATGAACATTGTCAATTGCTAGAACACTATTAATGCGAGAATTACGCAAATACATTTACATTCTTAATCAACGAATTCTTACCATAGTGTACAAATCCCACAGGAAGTAGCTAAGATTATGTGTAACTCAGTTCTATGCACTGAAGGATGTTTTAGACTGTTAGTGAGAAAGCAGAGATTTAATCCAAAGTTTGTCTTCAATGTGCGCATGAGTCACAGAAAACGGGCACACTGGTACAGCCTACTTGAGCTATAAAAGACACTGTCTAGTTAATGGTAGGGTTGTTTAAGGGCTGGTGCGTCACACAATCATGTTTCCAACAGGTGTCATCATTCATATTTCCATTGTACTCCTTCACTGTCACCATCATGAACAATATACACCTACAAATACATGGGTTTTAGACACACTTCTGAGCTGCTGAAAATTGTACTTTGATTCCTTACCCCATCATGTGGCATTTGGGGAAGTGGCACCCCATACATTTTTTTTTTTCCACTGTTGGCTGAAATGGACCTTCAGTAAGACATCTGTTATGGATTTTTCATCTCTGTGATAAAACTGCTTTCTCCTCGCTCTGGTGTGTGTCTAACGCAGGTCAGTAACCGGTCTGGACAAGGATTTAGGTCTGGTACACATGGAGGCCCACACTCCTGACGGCCGTGAGTTGCTTCTTTCTGTCTTTGTCTGTATTCTCTAACACTGTCCTGCAGTCTAGTGGTGGAATTTTGATTCATACCAGTGACTCAAATCTTATGATTTGGTATCCTAAAAAAGATGCGTCGCTGACCCTCATGGACCTAGCCCTTGTTTTTTTTTTGTGTTTTTTTTGTTTAGTTTAGTTTTGCTTTGTTTTGTTCTTAATTTCCAGACTGCAAATATTATAAGTTAGCCATTGTATAATTCTCTCTAAAATTATTAAAATTCATTCATCAAAAGGATAACAAAGTCTATATAATATTATATTATTGAAGTGTAAACAAATAATTTAAAACATTACATTTTTCCTAAATTGTAAGTGATTTGAGTGAGTCATTTTACTATTCACTCAACAGATTCATTTTAAAAAGTGTTAGCAGATTCTTGCTCATGCCTCACTCAATATACACCTACAAATACATGGGTTTTAGACACACTTCTGAGCTGCTGAAAATTGTACTTTGATTCCTTACCCCATCATGTGGCATTTGGGGAAGTGGCACCCCATACATTTTTTTTTTTCCACTGTTGGCTGAAATGGACCTTCAGTAAGACATCTGTTATGGATTTTTCATCTCTGTGATAAAACTGCTTTCTCCTCGCTCTGGTGTGTGTCTAACGCAGGTCAGTAACCGGTCTGGACAAGGATTTAGGTCTGGTACACATGGAGGCCCACACTCCTGACGGCCGTGAGTTGCTTCTTTCTGTCTTTGTCTGTATTCTCTAACACTGTCCTGCAGTCTAGTGGTGGAATTTTGATTCATACCAGTGACTCAAATCTTATGATTTGGTATCCTAAAAAAGATGCGTCGCTGACCCTCATGGACCTAGCCCTTGTTTTTTTTGTTTAGTTTAGTTTTGTTTTGTTTTGTTCTTAATTTCCAGACTGCAAATATTATAAGTTAGCCATTGTATAATTCTCTCTAAAATTATTAAAATTCATTCATCAAAAGGATAACAAAGTCTATATAATATTATATTATTGAAGTGTAAACAAATAATTTAAAACATTACATTTTTCCTAAATTGTAAGTGATTTGAGTGAGTCATTTTACTATTCACTCAACAGATTCATTTTAAAAAGTGTTAGCAGATTCTTGCTCATGCCTCACTCCCTCTGATCCATTTGAAAAAAAGAAAGAAAGAGCCATCAGACTTTTGCTCATTCCTCACTCGTACTGTTCGTTCTGAAGCAATATGTCCGAGTACTTTTACAAACTCTATTTTCATTCAGTGTTGTTCAGACTCAAAACACTGACTCAGTGGCTCAGTGAAGTGGTATATTCCTGTAGTATGCTCATCCATTCAAAGAAAGGCTCCTTCACAGTACACACTAAGATTATTTCAAATTCTCTTTTTCCCCACCTTCCTTTCACATCCCTTCTACTGATCTACGGTACACTCCTCTTTCAGTCCTGATGTTAGAGGAGAAAAAAGAGATGAGACGAGAGCCCGTGAGCCCGTGAGCTTGGGGATGAATTCCGAGGCTGAGGATAAAGCCAGTCCTGCAGGCAGCTAGACGGGATTACCGTAATGATAAGCACACCATCTGATAGCAGATTAATATAGGACCTGGACTCTCTCTGCCTTGCTTTCTCTCACTGGTTGAAGGCATAGTCCACTGAAATATGAAAATTCTGTCATAGTTTACTCACCATTATGTGGAAAAGAAAAAAAAAATCAATCTCAATACTTTTTTTCCCCATACAACAATAGTTCATAGCAACCAAGCTTCCAAAAACCAAAATTCTCTTTATGTGTTCAGTGGAAAAAAAAGAAATAAATAAAAATGGGTGACATGAGGGTGAGCAAATAATGGCAGAAGTTTCAGTTGTTTGAATGAACTTTCCATTTAATATTGGATTCATCATTCTGAATCTTCCACCTAATGTTCCTTGAAGCTGATGCATCCTTAGAGATTTGGAGAAACGGTCAGAGTTTACTGCACTCAATGCCCCCATACAGAATCTAATTAACAGCTAGAATCCTCTTTCTGTCTTTCCTTACAACAGATTGTCAGTATGTGACATGCAGAGCTCAAGCCTGCTCTGAATCCAGTAGGACATATCCATTTTCTGGTTATATTGAGACCAACTCACTCGTGGTTCAAGATGAATACGTGTTTGTTCAGGTAAGGACCAGAGGTCACTTACTTTAATATATTAATTAGATATTAAATATTTGAAAGATTAATTCATATTTTAAAAATCGTATATTGTATGATCTTCTCCTTCTCCTTCTTCGTAATATGTACAGTGCATTACTGGACAAATATTTCCCCCAAAATTCTGAAGCCCTTTTTTTATAAGCATTTTTTTAAGCCAGAGAATTACGGTTGGACGGGTAACCAATGGTGGAATTATTGTTTTAGTCAAGAGCATCTTCTGAAATGCTTTAGAGCAAAGAAACAAGTCAAATGGCACCAATTAATTATTTTTGGGTTATATAATGACATCCACAATTAATATAAAGTCAAGTGTGGCCGAAATAAAAAAGTACAATGATAACAGTGTAGCCCTTTGCCATTAGTCTTTGAGATAAGGACTTCCTAGAACAACAGACCTGTTGGGATTTCTCAGTTTGTTCCCACTGCAAAATGCTCTGTCATTCCCATTGCTCCTCATTTATAAATTATGAAATGTGGAACACAGTGTGATATATAGTACATATAGACTATAACAAGTGGGATCCAAAATTTGGCATATGCAGTACTTGATTAAACTATCTAACCATAGGGGCCCTCTGTCTTCACTCACATGACGTTGCTGCTCATTTGCAAGAAGTTGAACTTTCAAGAAGTTTCAAAACATTTACTCACTACCCACTTGGAAGTCTAACAGCAGTGCAGATAACAAGTCCTGCCAATAAGGAGTGGACGTTCAACCCCAATGTTTTGTCACGCCACATCACAGTCCAAAGAATGTGAAACAGAAAAATCGATCATCCCAATTTCTTTCGAGGTTCAACTGCTCCTGGAAGCCATCGATCCTGGCTGCTCCTTCCTTCTGTTGCACGCAGAGCAGCTTTTTGGAGACACGTTGGTCATGCTGTTTGTTTAGAACTTTCCCTAGACCGCCGCTCTCCTTCTCTGCCTCTCTCTCCTCATTTATTGAATGCACATTACCCGCTAAGAAACATAACTGTTTCTGTCATATAATCATGGAGCCATTTTATTCCCATGTTGAAATCGGAATCCTGTTGGGTGTATATATGCTCTCTAATTGAAATTATGAAAAGAGGTGGGATGAATTAAACGTGTCTGCCACTTCCGCAGACACCTTTCGTGCTGCAGAAGAATTATTTATTTCATTCTCCATTCCCCCTTGTGCAGCTGTAGACATGACAAGCTTCTGACAGTTCCTGCTGTGTATGCTAACAACCAGTGTGTGTTTGCTACACGCGCTATCATTAGCGCCAACAATCCCCCTCGGAGCTGGGTGGGAGCGGGCGTGTTGCTTGCGAGAATTAAAGATTTCTCTTGACAGAGAATAATGAGGGTATTGATTGCCCTACAAGATATTTACCACTCTCCACTCTTGAACTGCAAAGGGCATCGACAAACCGAGACCAAGCAGTATCCCCCAAATCATAGTGAGGAGATTCTTTTAAACGGGTCGTTCCAGATATAACCTGCTCGCTCCGTTACTGAATTAGCCATCTGAATTTACAGCTTTGTGTAATGTGCTGGGAAAGAAAGTTAGTTAATAGCTCAGATACTCATTGAATGTGCTAGGCCTCAGGGTTGCCAAGTCTGCAGTTTTACTGCGGAATTGGGCTCCCTTTACTTTGCCACAGGTTTTTTTTTTAGTCTGCGGGTTAAAGTGATCTCTCCCCACCCCACACTATTTCAATATTCCCCCCAGAACGCAATTTCTATGGAACGGACCACCAACGGAGGGGAAAACAGCATAAAAAATGCAGTTAGGCTAGTTTTGGGGTAGTTTTGTATAGCAGTTAGGCTGGTTTTGATTCACAGACCTGGCGACCCTGCTATAGTATATACTGTTGGTAGAAATGGTGATAGATATTCTGCTATACTGCGGTAGAACATTACAAAACAAAATCTAACCTGTTAGGTTAAAATGCACAACCCTTCTTGCTGGGTTAGTTTAACCCAGGGATGTCCAACTATGCCCATAAAGGACCAGTGTCCTGTAGAGTTTAGCTCTAACCAGATCCAACACATTTATTGTGAAGTTTCTAGTGAGTCTCAATACCTTGATTAGCTGGTTCAGGTGTGTTTAATTGGGGTTGGAGCTAAACTCTGCTGGACAGTGGCCCTCCAGGAACAGGTTTGGACACCCCTGGTTTAACCCAACATATTTACCCAGTTCTGAGTTACCAGCTACATTTAACAAAGCCAACATTAAGGTTTATATTTCAATATACACCATTAGTGTTGTATAAAATTACTCATACCGTGATGTAAGATTTTGGTCATATCGCCCACCTCTAAATTTTCTTCAAAGTACAAGGACAAATCAATAGTTACTGTCAGTAGATTTTCCAGTGTTGATGCCAGTTTTTTTATATCTGAAATATGTGCTATTTTTTCTTTTCCATGCAGGTGACGACTACTGGCAGAGCGAGCTACTATGTGTCCTATCAAAGAGAACATTTTGTACGCATTAAAATCCCCAAATACTCCCTGCCCAAGGTAAGAGACTACTTAAAAATTTGGGTCACACTTTATTTTAAGGTCCAGTACTCACTATTAACTATTAACTACGACTTTTGCCTCAGTAAACTCCTAATTACTGCTTATTAATGGTTAATAATGTAAACCCCCTGGGGTCGAAGCCCGCACCAGTGCGGTCTGTCTCTTATTTTCTTTATGACCGCGAAAAGAACTAAAAATACTCCGTGAGTTTTGATCGTACAGATAAGAATAAGGTATCGTTTGAAACTACAAAGGGTCTACTTTTATTTTTGTATAGTCATAATAACAACAAAACAATGTGCTTTAAAAAATAAAGAAAATAAACAGGGTGCGTTCTCTGCCGGCTCTGTCTCTGTCACCTCTCTTCACAGACACGTAAATAAAACAACATGAATCTCCACGAATACTTGCCTCAAAGACATGAGAAATATATGTATAGAAAGCTTGAAATGTCTAATTTTAAATGAAGTAAGTTATCTGACAAATGTTCTCTGTTAAAGTAATCCGTATGAAACCAACATGATGTCCAGTTTTTCCCGTCTCAGCTCATTATATCTAATGCCGTCACGCCCACGATCCGATCGCGCTTTTCAGATTCTAATCATCCACGTGAGACGTGCGCGCATGTAAATGCCCACATCGCCTCCGTGTAAACAAACGTGAAGAGTTCATCACGGCTACTTTTTGTTTCTGGAAGAAGATGTGCTGAGAGAAATAACCCAGAATTTACCACACAACGCGATGCGTCGCGCAGCTGGATCCACTGGAGGATATCACTCTGATGAGTAGCCTAAGTTTACTTGCATCTGTTGTTATTGTGTTATTGTGACATAACTTGTGCACATTTTACCAGTTAGACTTTTCCCAAACTATAATTCCTGACTACATGTATGAAATCAAGTGAATCGAATTTTTAAATATGTGTCATTTCATTGTCTAAAGGTCTCACGATAGGATGTTTGTTTAATGTTTTATAACATATAAAACCACAA